AACTGAGTATGGAAAAAAGAAAAAAGCTATCAACAGCCTAGACAAGAAATGTTGATTCTCAAAGTTAATGTTGATTCTAAAAGTGGAAGAAAAAAAGTACACAGAGGTAGGCAGAAAGATGGAAGCAGCAGTAACACTGTGAGGTTCTCAATTACACACAGGGTTGTACAATATTACTGGAAGAGAATTTATGAGAAGCTAAAGATTTATTTTGAAAGCAGAATGATCATTTAATTTTTTAAAAGAAGTATATGAGGAAGCTACTAGTAGAAAGAGTAGATGAAATCCTAAAAACACTGAATCCCAAATAAAGGAAAAATAATAAAAGCTTTGCTATTTTGTTTCTGTTTTGAACAAAACAAGTAGTCAAGTAGAATCACAGGTGCAAATCCAGTCACATTGATGACATCATATGGATGCTTATGTTAAAGAGATTTCATACTGGTTACAAAGTAAGACTTTGGCAGGGTAGATGGCTCAGTTGGTCCAGTGCTTGCTGTTCAAGTGTAAAAAAATCTTAGTTTGGATTTCCAGAACCCAGGTTAGGCCAATATGGTTGTACTATTTACAGCCCCTGTGGGAGGGAATAGGAGACTTCCTGGGAGCTTCTGGGCCAGCCAGCTTGGCCTACTATAGTAGCCAACAAGACACTTGTCTCAAGGCCTGAATGACAGTGAGCAGAGGAAGTAGTTTCTGGAGAACAGCAACCACCATAGTCAGAGAGAAGTTCAACTCTATATGCTCATATGGGAAAAGAAGAAAGGCTTAAGATTAGCCACCCAAGATTCCACCTTAAGAAGACAGAAAAGGAGCGTGTCTGTCCCAAATGATAAATAAATGTTACCAGAGATTGAAAAAAAAAACACAATGCTGCTGAAAAGTAGCAGCATCAAGAAAGGAGAGAACGGGTTCAGGAATGGCAGTGTACTACCAACTGCCGACCTCGACAAGAGCAGGATAGTCGAAAGCCGTGCAGAATGTACTTGGGAGTGAATGCATGTGTAGAGACTACAGCATATTTAAGATGTGTAGACATGAATAGCAGAGAAACAGATGGTGGGTGAGTAAACAAGACATGTGGTCAAGCCAGGCTTGCATTTTACGATGAGATTTCTTAGGACACTGAACAAATGATCCACTATAGAAAAGATGAGCCGGAGCAGAAAAGCAATGGAGCAAAGCCCCTGAGAAGGCAAGTGGGTGAGAGAAGACTTTGTTAGAAACAGGACACAAGTAATTTAACTTAATACAAAAAGACTTGATTGAGCAGTGAAAATCGTTGTAAGAAGTTAGGTCACACTATTTTAGTTTAATGGATTACTTATAATTTTTACTTTAATGGTTCAGTTATGAAGTTTTGACTACCATTATCAATCTTAACTGTTTACTACACTGGCCCAGTGACGGCTTTCCTGATCTCAGAATGGATGTGAAAACTTTTGTTCTAGTCTGAAACGGCCATGGATTGCTAGGTTTCTTCTGTTTTCCTTCTTGCCTCTTCTCTCACAGAAATCTACATGATACATGATATCTGCATTGTGGCTAAAATCTTCCAGAGTAAGCACTTCAAATAGAAGTTTTTAAGCTCAATTAAAGTTTAAGAGGACACCAATATTCAAAAGCATCACACAATGTGAATATTAGCCTAGTAAATAGCAATAAATTCAAAAGCTCGGGCTAATGACAGCTACACAGATAGCACATGGGCTGCTGGCGAATGGTTCCGATTAAAGTGCTTGCCAAGCAAACATGAGGACTTGAGTTTGATTCCAGCACCCATGTAAAACGCTTACCATGTGATGTGTGCTTGTAATCCCAGTGCTGAGAGGCAGAGACAGGGATTCCTGGGCGTGGTGGTGAGCCAGCCTAGCCTAACTGGGAAGCTCCAGGCCAATGAGAGGCGCTATCTCAAAAACCAAAGTGCACAATGTCTAAGGAACAAAGCCTGAGTTTGACTACTGGTGCCTACAGACACACGTGCACAATAACACATAGAAAGAAAGTACATAAGTAATAATGATAGCGCTTATGTCTGATAATGCCTTTGGGTTTAATGCTGAAGACTATAAAACTGTTCTGGTAGTTTACATCTTCTAATGTCTGCTATTTAGAGTAAGCAACAGAATTTAACATTTCTAAGTTTAAGAGAAACATAATTAAATACTTTACCAGCTGTGAGTTCGAGACCAGCCTGGTCTACAGAGCTAGTTCCAGGACAGGCTCCAAAAGCCACAGAGAAACCCTGTCTCGAAAAACCAAAAAAAAAAAAAAAAAAAAGGACACTCAACTAGATTGAAAAACAAAATGATGTTATTTTGAAACAGAGTTAAAGATTAAAGAATTCTGGCAATTTAATTAAATAGACAAAACAGTCAATTTCAGATATAAAAATATGAATTTAAGCAAACAATTTTTCGTTAAAGAGATACTTTTAAGTAAATTATAAGGTGCTTTTTTTTAGCACATGGAGAAATGGATATACTTCATTCATTTTTGATGAATTTTAATAGCACAAAACCTATTCTGTGTGTGTGTATGTGTTCATTTGCATGTGCACGTGTGTGTAAACAGGAGGCCTACATTTCTCTCTACCTTATTTTTTGAGTCATGATCTCACCAAACATGGAGCTCACCAATTTGATTAGGTTGGCTCAACAGCAACGCCAGCGATCTTCCTGCACTACGATTTCAGCTGGGTATTACCCTGCCCGGCTCTACGTGGGTGCTGGACATTCAAACTCAGGTGTTGAAGCTTACACTTTACTAACTGAGCAATTTCTCTAGCCACAAAACTATTTCTTAAATAGAAATAATTCAGCCATTATAAATTTTGGATTTTACTTGTAGAAATTTATTTTATGAAAATAATTATAGGATTAATAGAGACAGAGGTCCAATGACAGAAATGTACTGCTAAGAATGTGTTACAAGTAATCTAACAGAATTCCCAACACCAGGTCAGGATTCTCCAAGAGACTGACTACTAAAACATTTTAGCCCTTGACTGTCCTCCCAGTCCCAAGGTGGAGTGTGCCTATTGCTAAAGCACGGCCCAGATGCCTCTCAGCTGGAACTGACATTATAGCCCTTGACTGTCCTCCCAGTCCCAAGGTGGAGTGTGCCTATTGCTAAAGCACGGCCCAGATGCCTCTCAGCTGGAACTGACATTATAGCCCTTGACTGTCCTCCCAGTCCCAAGGTGGAGTGTGCCTATTGCTAAAGCACGGCCCAGATGCCTCTCAGCTGGAACTGACATTATAGCCCTTGACCGTCCTCCCAGTCCCAAGGTGGAGTGTGCCTATTGCTAAAGCGCGGCCCAGATGCCTCTCAGCTGGAACTGACCTGAAGAACTGCTCTGATGACTAGCTTTCATAGAACCAGAACGTTTCATGCAAGCTTCCAAAAATAGGGGAAAACCCAACAGTTATACCCAGCTATGATGCCTATGAACCACAACAATGACCAGCACGGCACGGTAACTTTAAGGGTGCAGTAGTGGCACCACCTTGACGATAACCAGCAACTCGCTAATCAGACTTAAGACCCACTCAACAAGAGGAAAAATCACACCTGGCACTGGAAACCTAGCCAATTAACCATGGCTAGGGAAGTCATGGATCTTGGAGAAGAACCTACATCCTCCACTTTACTAAACCAGGATAATCCTTAAGTATATTCTAAATGTTTATCTTTATACTCTAAGAGTGTAAGTGCAGTCCTTACTTTTTACCAAGAAAGCTTCTCTTTGCAATAGAATGAGACCAACACAGAAAACAACAAGCAAAAGTGCAGAGTTATGGAGTCCTGCCCCAATGGATACACCTACCAAACAACCTTCAGCTAATGCTCAGAGAACATTGCAGAAGAAGGAGCAGGAAGGTGTACGAGCCAGAGGATCAGGGAGTTTGCTATAAGATAGCATCTCTTAGTAATAATGTCAGGAGCTACACCCATGTCTTAGCAGTAAGACTGCTAAAGCATGAGATGAATAAGAACAACAATAACAGAGATGCCAAAGCAGAAGGAAAGGCCTATTAGGCCTCAGTCTTACACAAAAAACTACAGGCAACTAAGGAATACTGAGAGTGAGACAAGCAGTCTTCACCAGGGAGCAGCACATCAACTGGTGATTCAATACCATGAGGTTAGCCCTGAAACATACATACAAGTAGCAGACAAGACTGGGCAGGCTATGTTAAGGTATATATATATATATATATATATATATACATGCTAACAATTAATGGAAAAAGAGACTTTAAGTTATACTTATTTTTAATAATATCAAAACAATCAAAACAATATCTATAATATTGCAATATACACAATAAAAAGAGCTACACAAACAATATACATGACATATCTTGGTAGGTATACATATGTAAAATTACATATAAGTAAAGTAGGCAAATGAATTTACAAATCCAGAGGAGAGCTCTGCAGGGAAGCAGGCGGAGGAGCTAAGAGAATCCAGATAGAAGCTGTATCCACTCTGCACCACACAGTCCTACTTGTAGAATGAAGCTGCCCATAAAAGAGTGAAAACCACAAGAGCCAGAATGGTGTGCAGGAGTCCAAGGAACTATCAGGAAAGGACTTACACCTCTCCTCTGGCCTGTCTCAACAGAGTCACAGGAACATCAAGGTTGCTGAAACAGCCACATCCTTTAGCTGCAGGTATTGGCATTTGCTGTGGGACCTGATGTGTGGTAACATTGAATGGTAGCTGAGAAAACAATTCCTCAGACGAGCAACTCGGAGTGCCTGCTATAAACTCTGTCTTATTCCCCAAGTAGGATATTTATTGAGAGAGAACCAGAGCTCCAAAGCTATTTGTTAGTACCACTAAAAAGAGCCTTAGCCAATATCCAGTAAAGTCGGGACATTCTGTTGCATTTGTTTGTACTTGTTTGGGTTTTGAATCAATTAAAAGCCAGCACTGGCCATTAGGCAATGCTATCAGTGGAGAGACAGCATCATCCAAATGAGACCACACTTACCTTTGGGTTGTTTGCATCAAATAGACCAGTTGAAAGCCTGATCAGTAAGGAGTTCTTGGTTTTAGCTTTTGGTGGTGAATCAGAGCGAGATCGGAGTGAAACTGGTTCTGACTGAACTACGCTCAAGTGCTCAGACTGAGCCACTTTCTGGAAGAATGGTTCTGGCGGTACTGACTTCTCTACGTCACATCTGGACTGCTGAGAATCATCTACTGCAGGCTCTGTGGAATAAAAAGAGATTATATCATAAATTTATAGAATAGCACTTAAAATTCTAAAAATATCAGCAAGTATCATATAATATTTAACACGCATCCCATCCTAAGATCTGCAGAGATGGCTTGGTGCTGAAACACTTGCTGTTCTTGCAGGAGACCTGGGTGTGGCTCCTAGGACCCCCATAGCAGCTCGCAACCATCTTTAACTCCAGTTCCAGCGAATCTGACATGCTACACTCTTCTGGCTTCTGTGGGTACCATGACCAAATGTGGAACAAATACTACTTATATGCAGACAAAACACTCAGCCATATAAAATATTTTTAAATAAAAATGAATTAAAAAAACTCATACCAGGTAAACAAAATCAAAGTATACATATAAGTATATTGTATACTATCTTATAAATAACCATTAAGGAGATATAACATTTTAATTTCATATATATCTTTATTATATTGGAAGTTTTAAAATAAAGAAATCTAAAGAAATGTAAAAATACAGTTTAGAAAATCAATTTTTCTGTTCGTTTTCATAGAGGAGAAAAATTGTTTATATTGTGTTATATTTTGACCAACAGTATTTTAAAAAGATACCAGTTTACTCAGTGTCTTTGGTATATTGCTTTGTTTTAGCAGTAAATTCTTTTCATTTTCAACAATACAACTTACCAAAAAGTTAACTGCTTATATTCCCACAATCCCGGGCCAGCTAGTACAGGTTCCTAGTTTCTAGGCCTATTTTAAAATAGAATTATGACGACTTATAATGGTGCCCAAATGAGACAGGCTGGTATTAAGAAGCCGTCCAGAAAGAGTTAGACTCCAGTAGTGTCACTTACCTATATGATCCTCACGAGACTGCTCCACATTCCCTGGAATGCTGCCTTCACAAACCTCACTCTGCTGCTCAGCAACCTTATCTTCCAACCTGCCACAGACAGACAAACCAAACAAAATAAATACCATGCAGTTTTATTAGAAATAAAAGCCCTTTTATATAAAGAAAATGAAATCCACATCTACTAGCATCCTGAACTCCCTTGTCCAAATGATTTTCTAATCTTAATATAATACTTCCTCTTTAAGTACAGTGTTTTCTACTTTGAGCAAAGTGAAACTCTTACCAATCACTAATTATTAGTTAATATTCATTCATTCTGAAAGTTTACATTGGTCAAAACTCTAAAGAATGACTAAATTACAAATGCAATTCATCTAAATTCATCTCTGCTTCAAAAAAACCACCTGATTTTGCAAAAATATTTTATGTAAAACATTACTCATTGCAGCATCACAATACATAGCATGAATATTCATCAAGTAGTAGGTTATTGAGTTTTCTTATATCCATATAATAGAATATAAAATAGAGAACTTTCAATTAATGTGAGAAAATTTCCCAGACTACAAACTTTTTAAAAAAGTATTTGTTCTATATGTATGTGTATGTGTGTGTATATCACATGTGCACAGGAATCCTTGAAGGAGGGAAGAGGAATCAGATACCCTGAAACTAGAGTTACAGGGTCTATGAGTTGGCATGTATGTGCTGGGAGCCAATCCCAGGTCCGCAAGAGCAGTAAGCCCTTTTTAACTGCTGACTACCGACTTTATAAACAAAGTGAGCATGGAGTTTGCTCAGTGGTTAAGAGGGAGCACTGACTGTTCTTTCATAAGGACCAGCGTTTGGATCCCAGCACACACACGGATCAGCTCATAAATACTACAGGTCCAGCTCCAAGGGATTCAGTGTGGCTTCCTGCCTCCATATTTTATCTGTGCACACACATGTGAGCATACACTTTCAAAGACACACAAACACATTTTAAAAAGCTGAAAAGGTTTTAATAAGCATTGTATATATTAGCAACTGTATTTGAAAAGACTATGTATTTTGTTTATATATAATAAAAATTATCTGCAGAGAAAAATCAGAAATTGGTTGAATGGGAATAAAGGCTGGCAAGACATTTACTGCTTATCTTCATATAGTTTTTTATTTCTGTCCCATGCTAATATCTATTAAGAAATCAAATTACTTTATAGGGGGTACTACAATATGAAGTTATTAAACTACAACATTAGTTAATACAGCATTACTTATTAAAGAGCTTACCAAAGGAACCTGCCTTTGAAAAGTAAAGAAAAAGACAACATACTCTGTTTCCTTAGCTTCTTCTTCCTCACTAATCCACACATCATTAACAGCACGTGGCAAACTTCCATCTGTGTCTGTGCTACTTGGCTCTTGGAGAACTTCTGTCTCCAAATCATCAGGTTCTGCAGAGCAAGATCAGGAGATGTCAGAGTAAAGTTTGCTGAGAATGGGCTGACTAACTTTCTGTAAGTTATTATTTCACTTAGTTTAACTAAAGAAAATCAACTGTTTAAAGCTTTCTGGGCTAGTTCTGTAGCACAGTCATTCCTAAAATGAAAGACGAGGCCTTTCATTTTTTTGGTATAACAAAAATACTTGAGTACTGTGCACAATATTCATTATTATGTAAGGTATATGCCGGGCGGTGGTGGTGCACGCCTTTAATCCCAGCACTGGGGAGGCAGAGGCAGGCGGATCTCTATGAGTTCGAGGCCAGCCTGGTCTACAAGAGCTAGTTCCAGGACAGGCTCCAAAGCTACGGAGACACCCAGTCTCAAAAACAAAAAAAAAAAAAGATATAAGCCTTATTAAAACTACAGCAATATGTAAATCAGCATAAAGGAATCAAAACTAAAGACTAAAGATACCTGTTGTTACAAGTATGAGAAAATAGACTGTATTATTAATATTTAGTAAAGAAACTTTAATCTTGGAAATCTTCCAACAAACACAAAAGAAAACCAATATGATTACCTGGACTTTTACAATGGCCTTGAGAAGTATGCTAAATCAATTTTCTTATACCCTCAAATAATTAATAGCTAGGAAACTATTTTTCTGGCCATCTTTAAAGAGAGTCTATTTGTCCATTTATATGTTTATGTATATGTCTGCATGAATGTATGGACATATGCAAGGTATGTGTAAATAATATATGTTGAGGCTAGAAAAGAGCGAGATCCCTTCGAGCTGAAGTTATGAGTGCTTGCAGAATGGCAGACATGGGGTGCTGGGATTCACACTCCGGTCTGCATAACTGTGCAGCAAGTGCTTTGCTGCTGAGTCCTCTCTTCAGTCCCACTGAGACTTCTATTTTTCCTGTCTGAGATCATATACTTTCTTACTTAATTCAACACCATGCACATTTTTTCATGGACTTCAGATATGCTTTTCTTATCTATTTACAAATTTCTAATGTTTTGCCCTATTGTGAAAGACAAGAGACATGCAAATACTAATTTTGATCTGTTGCTCACATGAATGTTTGGGTCATCCATACAAGGTATGTACTAAGATAGAAGAACCTTTTTATTTTGTCTTTTAATGTGTAATTCTGTTCTTGTTAAATAGAGGGAGAAAAGGAGGTGGCAATGGGTTGGTTGTTTCTAGAAAGAAGCTGACACAAGTTTTCCTTTGGGAGAGTTTTATCGGCCTTAAGATAACAGAGACGCAGTCACTCTGAGGCAGGACAGCGCCCTCTAACAGACAATAGGAAGGAGAAGGCCTGATGGAGGAGAGCTTTCCCTTAGAACCCACAAAGGAGTTTTAGTAAGAGGCACAGATTAAAGAACCAGAGAGACAGCTGTCATGGACAGGATAATGGGAGGGGATCAACTTTAGAGAAATTCTACAAACACAGGAAAATATATGACCTTTATATCCTTCCAGGGGCTGGTAGGAAGCTCCATATCACATGATTTTGTTCAACACAGCCCACTGACAGGGAGCACAAAGGAGCCAGCTACAGTGTAGCACTATAAATCAGGGGTGGTAGACCCACAGCACAGATAGCTTCTTAACTCTATGTCCCAGAGAAAGAGCTGAGGGGAGCAAGGCCTGGTTTTTCCAGGCTGTGGGATGGACTTCTTAGAGAGATCAGCTTCTTAAAGGGGTAGGTTCACTATTTAACAATTCCCTAGTGATCTTCAGCTCTATCAAAACTAACATTCTATCCTCTAAACTCAATTTGTGACCTGGTTTCCATAAAGCCTAAAATATTTACTCCACAACTCTGTAGGAAAAGTGAAGCTTGCCAACCTCAAAACTAGGCTATAAACTCTCTACTATATGCACACTCATCCTGCTGGTTAATTTTATCTTTTATCTCTCGAGAGGAGAGCACCCAACAGAAGTGAAGGAGGAAGACCTGGAGTTTACAAAGACCAGAACCAGTTCCTATCTCCACCAGCCTGTAGTTCACAAGCCATTAGGCAGATTGTTCAGAAAGGTTGTGGACTCAGTAAAAGGGGAAGATTAGCCATAAACTAAACACTGCTTGATTCCACTTCACAGAACTTAAGAAGAAGGCCTAAAAGGATCAAGATACTCATAACTAACCAAACTGTATCCCAGAACAAAGGTCAAGAGTAGTTATAGAAATATAAAAACTACATAAACTTCCACAAATTATAATTCAGTGTTTTGTCCCTAAGCAAAAATAATCAAGTAAAATCTGGTCTACCAACCAAAGGCAATGTCCAAATGACAGAGATGATGAGATTACTCACTGGGGAAGGACATTTGTAGTGATTATTATAGCTGGGCTCCCTTGGGTTCAACTAAAGAAGACTGACCATGGGAGGGACAAAATAAGGGAAGCTGGGCTGGTGTGCAGCTCAGTTGCAGAGTACTTGCCCAGCATGAAGAGACTCTGGACTAGAACCTCCTCTACCAAAAGGAGGAGGGGAAAAAAGATTGGTGCTGGACTTGTAGGAGAAAAGTCCAAAAGAATACAGGAAAAAATACTGGCAAAGAATTTTCCAATACAAGTGACAGTTATGACTCACAAGTCCAAGAACACTAGCAAAAGGATGTGAGAACAAGGAGTGTCACCACCAAGCTCACTGAAACCAGGGCTTTGAGAAAAAGCCAGAGCAGCAGCCAGAGGACAATGACATCCTGCATCCAGAGGAACCGCTGAGACTGACAGTCACAGACGACTTCCCGCTGCGAGCAGTGAAGAAATATTGTTAAAGTAGAATAGAAAGAAAAAAGTATCAGCTAATTCCATAGCTCTTAACAAATATTTGTGAAGGCAGGCACAGTAAACTTTTACAGACATATACAAGTTGAAGGAACCAATCATTAGTGATATTAAAGCATAGCAAGTCTTAAAGGGAAGCCAACACGCAGAGGAAACAGAGCCAGACAGTAGAGAGCACTAAAAATATAAACACAAAGCAGACACATAGGACCACTTCACTTACTGCTTACGTGTCCCTAAGAACTAATAAGTAGATTATGAATTTTATAGCAAAAATATAAGCAAAGCAATTACCTCACCCATCCCAATCCTAGCACAAAGGTAGGAAGGAAGAAAGTGCAAGACTGTTATAATGCTGCTTGCTATATATAGGTTAAGCACTGAAGACATTTGAAAATAGAGTTCATAAAAGTATATACTGTGGACTCTAAATCAAATAGTGAGTTATCAGAGTAATGAACTCTAAGAAAGCAAGAGGAAATAGAGAAAAAAATCACAGATAAAGCAAGGTGGTACAGTTAAATTTTGTAGAATGCAAATAGTATAAAAGTATTAGGTGTTAGGAGTGGACTGAAAAAGCAAACACACACTAAATGTAAATGTATAAACAGTTTGAGTGCGGGAAAGGGATAGATATCTCAATCTAACATTGAGCAAAAGAATATAAAAATGACTATACCAATAAAACATTCTTTAAAAGAGTTGGTTGGCGCACACCTTTAATCCCAGCACTCAGTAGGCAGGCACAGGTGGATCTCTGTAAGTTCAAGGCCAGCCTAGTCTATAAGAGCTAGGTCCAGAACAAGCCCCAAAGCTACAGAGAAACCCTGACTCAAAAACCAAAAACCAAAACCAAAACAAAATGAAAAAATCTTTAAAAGAAAAAATTAAAGCTCACAATACAGATGCCTCTCAAAAAGCATATGTCAAAGAAGCCAGAAACAAGAGAACACAAAACTTATATGGCTGGCTTCATGGCATTCTAGAAACAGAATAACTAATATAAGGTGGGGAAATTTCAGACAAAGAGTCTCTGGGAGACAAAAGTCAAAGTCTGATTGAGGAAGGGCTGTGACACTTCTTGGGGTGATGGTAATGCGCTATCTATTATTAGTAATTAATGTTAAATACGTCCACGCATTTGCTGGAACTCAGCAAATGTACAAATCATAATCCATAAAATAACATAAAAGGTGAACAACTAAATAAATACTGAATTCTGACGGTGACTCTATGCTGTGAAGTACAGGAAAGTATACCAATGTCTGCGGTTGACTCTGAGTTATGTCAGAAATAAGACTGATGAGTACAGGATAGAGACAATGGACAGCACTAATGGTAGAAGGTAAATGGATGATTATAACACCTACTGCAAAATTATTAAATTCTTCTACATGTTTGAAATTTCTCATAATGAAATTCTAGGAATTTAGATATAACACAATGAGATATACAAACATAAAGAGAATTTTAATGTAGTAGTAGTATAAGGTCCATAAAATACACTTAAAAATAAAATCTAGAACAATGCAAATAAAACTGCATATAACCAATAAGGCAATATAAAGGGAGAATTATATATGAACACGCCCATTCACACATATATGGATATATGTGCATATATGTGTATATACATACATGTGTATACATTAAATATATCTTTATTTAATCTATATATACACACAAACATGTATAAGCACATATATCTGAATGTACTCAGAAAGATAAACAAGCTAATGTCAGCAAGTACCTGGTAACAGGAAGGCATGTTTTAGGAAAGTACTGTTCCAGGCCTAAAGAAGAAGCAGAACTGATCACCCAGTTCTTGTGTTTTTGGTTTATTTGTGATCAGTCTTCCCAGTTTCTTAAGAAATAAGAGAAGCTGAGCATGGTGATATATACACCTGGAACCCTAGGACTTAGAAGTTCTGAAGCAGGAACTCAATGGGTTCCATGCCAGACAGGTCTATATAACCCTTTCCAGGAAGCTTATGTATTTCTCACCCTGGCCCGCTACTGACCTTACACAGTGGCAGTGGTCTATTATTAATCCAGAGCAGTGCTTCTCAACCTTCCTAATGCTGCGTGGAGCCTTTTCATACAGTACCTCATGGTGTGGTGACCCCAAATCATAAAATTATTTTTGTTGCTAATTCAAAAATGTAATTTTGAATCATAATGTAAGTATCTGTGTTTTCT